TGGATCGGGACTCGTTACGCACGGTCACTCATGCCCTCGTCACCTCCCGTCTGGACTACTGTAACGCTCTCTACATGGGGCTCCCCTTGAGGAGCACTCGGAGGCTCCAACTGGCGCAGAGTGCGGCCGCGCGGGTGGTGATGGGAGCGACGTGGCGCTCCCATGTAACGCCTCTCCTGCGCGAGCTGCACTGGCTCCCGGTGGTCTTCCGAGTGCGCTTCAAGGTTTTGGTCATCACCTTTAGAGCGCTCCATGGCTTAGGACCTGGTTATTTACGGGACCGCCTGCTACCACCAATAGCCTCCCACCGACCAGTACGCTCCCATAGAGAGGGGCTCCTCCGGGTGCCATCGGCCAAACAATGTCAACTGGCGGCCCCCAGGGGGAGAGCCTTCTCTGTGGGGGCACCTACTATCTGGAACGAGCTCCCCCCCGAGATACGGAGGATTCTGGATCTGCATACCTTCCGTCGCACGCTTAAGACGTTCCTATTCCAGCAAGCCAGCCTGACCTAAACTTTTCCTCTTTTAAATGGGAATTTTAAATTTGGTTTTAAATTATTGGGGTTTTAAATATGGTTCAGCCAAATTTATTTAATCTGTTTTATCTCTATTTTAAATTTTGTATTTATATGTTTTATTTTATGGCTGTTCACCGCCCTGAGTCCTTCGGGAGTAGGGCGGTATACAAATTTAATAAAATGAAATGAAATGAAATGAAATGAAATGTGGCAGGTGCTTGTCTGTTTGAATTCCAAAGTCTCAGAGTACTTTAGCTTCTTCATTTTCTATTACTTTCTCAATTTTGTGGTCCCACCAGCTCTTACTTGCAGGTAACTGGTATTTCTTGCAGATCTTCCAAGGCACCATTGTTACTACTTTGTCATGCAGTTGTTTGTAGTCAGTCTGTGTGATCTTCTTGCAGCAGCTAAATGAGGAGATCCACTGTTTCTTCAGCTTCTTTGCAGAGGTGACATTTGCTATCTGTTGCTGTCTTCTCAATTCTGGCTTTTTCTGCATTTGTTTTTAAAGTTTGTTGTTGTTGTTTTTGTTGTTGTTGTTTTTATTATTATTATTATTATTATTATTATTATTATTATTATTATTATTATTACTGTTGGTATTATTGAAGTCGACAGCTATATGGGAACTTGAAGCCAATGGTTATCCATCTATATTTTAATTGTTCTTCTAGATTAGGGCATGAAAAAGCCTGAAGGCTGACTGATCTATTTCAGAGCTCAGAGTAAAAGGCAGCATGAAGTCCTGGAGCAATTTCCAACTTTTTTCTTCATCTGGACTGTTTGCTGCCATCAAGTGGCTTTTAAATTTTTGCATCCTAAATATGGTAGTTCAGCTTAACAAGAACAAAAACTTCCCTTCTACTATTAAATTACAAGCAAAGGAAGGAATAAAACTAGGAGAGAAGCTTTGTGTAAAAAGTACTCAGTTCTTCATAACAAGATGAATTCCTGAACTGAACCAGCAGTCCTCTACTTGGCAACTGTATTTCTCTCCGCTATTATTTTGTGATTGTCTCAAGTCAGTGAATTGCAGAATTCTAATAAAAGCGATAACCTAGATCTCAGAGGAGGTGACATCTCAGGATGCTCAAGAGATTCGATTCTGACAGAGTCGATATAAGAGCAAACTCCCTATTGCAGATCATCATCAGCATCACCTAACATCTGTTATGTAATATGACTGATAGACCCTGAGGTTGTTTGTCATTGATCGGTGTATTCTCTGGGAAGGACTGATAGGTCTTTTCTCCAGAAATGAGAATCATTGTTCAGGTCATGTATTGTAGCACTAGACCGCTAGAGCATGACAAATCTACAAGTTCACTGGGCTCTGTAGCCTCATCCAGTTAATGTGGCAATCTGTCCATGTTTGAGCTTCATGGCATAGTAGACCCAAATCTCCTCCCAACAGACTTTAGGTCACTGTCCACTGAAGTTAAGAATCAGAATGAATAACAGAAAGAAGAATTTCTAGTATTTGCAGTCTTTGAAGCCAAAATCCCAAATGTCCCTGTGTACCACTAGATTATGCTAATGTCTTCTGGACCAGGGTAGGGAGGGTAGGGACAATGGACTTCAAGTTCATAGTTTTAGCCCACCAAAACAAAGAGGCATTCCAGAAAGATAATGATGCTAGGGATTAGAAGATACAGAAAAACTGTTCTTCAAAAGTGTTTTGACCTTAGCTTATTTAACCTATTAACTGGGAAAGCCACTGTTTATAGATTAACATACAATCAATTGTATTGATAAAGTTGACCTGATCAGGCTGATCAGACAGGGATCTCCCTGGAGGTATACTTCAGCACAGTGGTGGGTTTTAAATTTTTTTACTACTGGTTCTGTGGGTGTGGCTTGGTGGGTGTGGCATTGCTTGGTGGGCATGGCTTGGTGACCGTGGCAGGGGAAGGTTACTGCAGAATCCCCATTTCCTCCCGATCAGCTGGGACTTAGGAGACAGAGAATAGATGGGGGCGGGGCCAGTCAGAATTTTTACTACTGGTTCTCTGAACTACTCAAAATTTTTGCTACCAGTTCTCCAGAACTGGACAGAACCTGCTGAAACCCACCTCTGCTTCAGCAGGTCAGAGGCTTAATTAGGGTTAGTTCATTTTTTCCATTTCAGAAACATTTTAACATTTGAAAAGATAAGACTTTCATTAAAAAAAACTTTTCTTAATTCATTGTCTTCCCTTGATTTTTTTCATCTCCTTTTTCCAGAATGAAGATGAATTTTGAAAATAACAGCAAAAATCCTTGAGTTCTATGACCAAACTTTATGTCTAATATTTTTTTCTAAGTGCATATGTACATCTTCACAAAAAGGGTTTTCTTCAATACCAAAAAGAACAAAGACAAGAAAAAGACAATAAAGTAGTTTCCAAATTGGCTAGTTTAGTGTTTGACATGCCTTACTCCTACTTAAAAAATAAAAACTATCACATATTATTTACAACTAAATTTTACCAAGGACCTATCTCTGACTGCTTGTTTTCTGGACTGGCAAGCTAATCTATTAGAAATGTAATGCATTGTTTGTGCAGTTTTAGTCATAGAATTATATATATTATCACTGTATCATATACTATGATAAAATATTTTTTTCTCACTTATGGAATGGAGTGAAGTTTTGGAAGTAGAAATACCTTTACTCGAAACCATTTGGCACAGGTTTTTAGGAAAGCATTTCAACTGACATGATATTCCTAATGCTTAGAAGTGGGCCTAGCAGAATAGAATAGAATTTTTACTGGCCAAGTGTGATTGGACACACAAGGAATTTGTCTTGGTGCATATGCTCTCAGTGTACATAAAAGAAAAGATACGTTCATCAAGAATCATAAGGTACAACACTTAATGATAGTTATAGGTTACAAATAAGCAATCAGGAAACAATATCAATATAAATCATAAGGATACCAGCAACAAGGTTACAGTCATACAGTCAGTCATAAGTAGAAGGAGATGAGTAATGGGAACGATGAGAAGACGAGAAGATTAATAGTAGTGCAGACTTAGTAAATAATTTGACAGTGTTGAGGGAATTATTTGTTTAGCAGAGTGATGGCGTTCGGGAAAAAACTGTTCTTGTGTCTAGTTAGAATAGAATAGAATAACAAGAGTTGGAAGGGACCTTGGAGGTCTTCTAGCCCCAGCCCCTGCTTAGGCAGGAAACCCTACACCACTTCAGACAAATGGTTATCCAACATCTTCTTAAAAACTTCCAGTGTTGGAACATTCACAACTTCTGGAGGCAAGTTGTTCCACTGATTAATTGTTCTAACTGTCAGGAAATTTCTCCTTAGTTCTAAGTTGCTTCTCTCCTTGAATAGTTTCCACCCATTGTTCTGGTATGCAGTGCTCTATAGCATCGTTTTGAGGGTAGGAGTTGAAACAGTTTATGTCCAGGATGTGAGGGATCTGTAAATATTTTCACAGCCCTCTTTTTGACTCATGCAGTATACAGGTCCTCAATGGAAGGCAGGTTGGTAGCAATTGTTTTTTCTGCAGTTTATTTTTTATTTATTATTTTTTATTAGTTCGATTTATATATGCTGCCTTTCTCAGAGACTCAGGGCGGCTTACAATGCATTAAGCAATAGCCTTCATACTTTTGTATATACCTGCTTAGTAGGGCTTTTTGGCCCCCTCTGAGCGGTGTTCTATTTTATACAAAGTCAGTTTATTCCCGCCACAAACTGGGTCCTCATTTTACCTACCTCGAAAGGGTGGAAGGCTGAGTCAACCTTGAGCCTGGTGAGAATTGAACTCGCAGTAATTGCAGGCAGCTGGCAGCTAAATGCTACTTTAACAGCAGCAGTTTAGTCCACTGCGCCACCAAGGCTCTTCTAATTCTAATTCTAGTTCTAATTAGCCTCTGAAGTCTGTGTCTGTCTTGTTGGGTTGCAGAGCCAAACCAGACAGTTATAAAAGTGCAGATGACAGACTCAATAATTCCTCTGTATAATAAAGGCTAAATCTATAGTTTGGATGAAATTAATTAATTAATTCAGTTTGGGCCACTACCCAATTCCAAATGCCCTGGATGGCTCACAATATGAAGAAGATGAAAGACAACAGCTCAAAAACCAAGGAAAGAAATGTATTTAACTTTGCTTCAAGTTTTTTTCACAATAAGCTTTCACCTGGCCCTTGTAACATTGGTAGATCTTTCCCTTTTGGAATCTGCAGATAAAAGAAAAAGGTGGTAAAGAGGATAGTCTCTTCATTTGCTGGTGAAATGAGTTATGAACAAGCATAGAATGTGCTGAAACAGAGGCTTCCTGGTATATAGACTGATTGAGGTGAAATTCTGCAAATATGATGTTGGGATTTGGTTACACAATCCTTAGGTCACACAATATCTCAAATAGCTTACTTTCCCAAACATTCACCATTGTTACATCAGTTGGAAACAACCAATAAGAGCTGCTCCAGTCCCACCTACTCTTGATTTCCTGACTTCAACTCTAACATAATGGTGGTGAAGTATAGCAGTTTTACTCACCTTGCAGCTCTTGTTGGATGCTGTCAGGCTCTAATATGAACATTACCTAAACATCATTTGACAAAGGATGATTAAACTCTATCTCACTTATGGCCTTCGAACAAATTGAAAAGACCGTTATGAAGACATGGGAAGGTAATATTGGAAGGGCATGTACCAAGGCTAGGAACAAGTGAGGCAAGATTCAGAAACAGACATGTAGCAGAAAGAGAGGATTTTTTTAAAAAGTGGGAGAAAAGTGGAGAGAATGAAACAGATTGAAAAGGAAGCCTAAAACTGCTGAAAAACTACAGACAGATTGACAATAGAGTTATGATTATGGAAAAGGCCAACTAAATATTGCAAGAAACCTGGAGTTTCTGCTCTATGCCACTTTTCTGGGAATGTTTGCTATGTATGATATGAGATCATTATCGCTATCTCACCACGGGCAGTAGTAGTAATAGAAGGAGAAAGATATGGTAAGAAAGAGAAAAGGAAGGAATAAGGAGTACCAGCAGTACCTTCCCTTTTGTGATATTCCATGCTCAGGCTTAAATGAAGACTTTGATTTGGAAGCATGGGCACAAAAGATTTCTCCAGTAATAAATTGCTATTAAGACAACATTCAAATGTGCCATATTTAATACCTGCTCATCCGTTTACAACTTGATTGACAGGGAAAAATTAGGGTGGGGGTAGCTTGCAAATAATTCCTGAGCATCTGCAGAAGTTTCTGTGTATGTGTCCATTCATATGTATACAGTGGCGGGATGCTGCCAGTTTAAAAACTGGTTCAGTGATCGCGCGCTTTGCGCGCGCGCGCACCTAACATGCGCTATACACGCATGCACAGTTTTACAAATATTAACCTTCTGTATTACCACTTTAGAGTAACACAGCTAAGGTGTGGCAATCCACTCTGGCGTGCCAATAATAAAGGGAAGATAAAGGTAAGTAAAGCGCAGGGGTGGGTGGGCAGGCTGACCTAAATCATCGGAGTGAACCAGTTCTCTTCCAGCTGATCGTCGGAGCCACCGGTTCGCCTGAACCAGTCCGAACTGGAAGAATCCCACCCCTGTATGTAGACTCAACAAGGAGATTACAGTGTTAATTTCTGAGTGGAAAAGTAGCAAATAAAGTGGTATTTAATCCTTTCCATACCTCCATGTTCCATCTATAACTTTCTCCATCATTTCTTTGTTACTTTAAGATGCTTCCATTGCAGGGAAAACATGGTACGTAAATAAGGATCCAGCTATTCTACTGTCATCTGCTGTTTTAATTTTCCCTGCCACTTGGAGACTAAATTTCTAGCAGAGTTCTGAGCAACTTCCATTCTCAGGTATCAATGAACCAAGCAAACAGCAGTAAGGATCTCCTGCATCCTGCTCTTTGGGAAGCTTCCTCCAAAGTGCTTTGAGAAACAGTGGTGACTCACAGGGACAACCATATCTTGTTGACAATAGTGGTGATACACATACATATGCATTGCTTGTGTCAGTGTGATGGACGGTAAAAAGGGAGAAATATAATCACCCCCCCCCCAGATAGCTGTAATCAATGATTAGGTTTAAGTGTTCTGTCAATTCGGTGGAGTCAACTTAACCCTGTGCATGACTTGGTCAATCTTAGGTTAAATTGAATCCCCTGGAGTTCGGTTGTCTGGATCAATTAGTACTAGTAACTTAAGAGAACCAACAGGATTCCCTTGAAAGAACTGTGCTTCCAAGGATGCAGCTAGTTGCTTTCCTAGCTCAGTCTGTCTGGAATAAAAATAAATAGAGTTGGAGATTGGAATGCACTGGGAGACTTTCTATGCCAATTTTATTCAGAAGCTACCAGGAGAGGCCAAACCAAGAGAAATGCAAAGCAAGGAAGAGAAGTGGAGGGAGGGTGCTTTCAGAGCAGTCAAGGCCCCCCCAAAATGAGGCAGCCAGGAAATATACATAGGGAGTCATGGTGGCCAAAGATGAGAAGAGAGGGTATGTGCCTCCATTGGCTTGAAATGATCCCACCCACCATGGGTCATCTGACTTTGCCACCAGCGAAAGGGTGGTGAAACACATCAGATTTTACACACTTTGCAACTGCTGTTTGAAGTTCTTCCCCTTAAAGGGGAAGATATTAGTAGAATAGCTAAGGGTGACCTAAGGTTGCTTTATCATAAATTGAAGATGAGATGAAGGCAATATCATGGGGACAAAGTAGAAAAAATGTCATAACAAGGCATACTTATACTGTGTTTGAGTGTAAGTGGGCAAAAGTTCTTTTCAATCAAGGAAGTATTTCAGCTCACTCACAGGGGTGAGCTGGAAACGGATTTCTTTTTTTCATTTTACATTGAAATGAAGGTCAAAAATAAAGAGTTGGATGAATGCAAACTTCTTGGCCCACTAATCTTCAACAATGTGGCCCATTATATTGTACTCCATTAACCATGTGGGGCTCTTAGGAGGAAAGTCCCTTTATCTCTCTCCCAACAAAGTTTAAGAATAATGCCCTCTAAACGTTCTGATCTTTATTAAAGTCCCAATTCTGAGAACAGTTCCTATTTATCCTTGAAAGAATTAACATTTGCGTTACATTGTGTTTGACAGGGTTTTTTTCCCCACAGAAAAGAGTCATATTCCCTTCAAGTTCATAATTTCTTTTTAAAACTACCCCAAAATTAAGTATCTTAAGAAACTTCCTTACATTAACCTCAAAATAATGATTGTTTATGTAGTACAGTAGTGCCAGGACAGATAGGGATATTTCTATACCCAATGATGGATGTCTACCCCAAGGAATTTACAGTCTTTAGCAAAAGAAAGGGAAAGGGGTAAATATGACACTCTCTGCCTCAGGGAAGCTATGAATTTCATTTTGCTTGGAAACCAAAGAGAAAGAAAAAGGTGACCAGATTCTAAAGTAAAGGTAAAGGTTCCCCTCACACATATGTGTTAATCGTTCCCAACTCTAGGGGGCGGTGCTTATCTCCATTTCAAAGCCTAAGAACCAGTGCTGTCCGAAGAAGTCTCCATGGTCATGTGGTCAGCATGACTAAATGCTAAAGGTGCACGGAATGCTGTTACCTTCCTACCAAAGGTGGTTCCTATTTTTCTACTTGCATTTTTTACGTGCTTTCAAACTGCTAGGTTGGCAGACGCTGGGACAAGTAACAGGAGCTCACCCCATTATGCGGCACTAGGGATTTGAACTGCTGAACTGCTGACCTTTCAATCAACAAATTCAACATCTTAGCCACTGAGCCACCGCGTCCAGATTCTAGTTCAAGCTATTCTCCTTGTCTCATTTATTATGGAGGAGTGAAAGGTTTGTCGAAAAAAAGTGAGATTGCTTGTGTGTAAGAGGGTACTTCTGCCCATCATGTATCTGGAAGTGTGAATTGGGCATCTCCTGAAAAATTTAAGTTGAAGTGGGAATGTGGTCCTTAAGAAATGTATGTGGTAAAGCAAGAAGACACGGGAGTAAGAATGAATGGGTGTTGAATGAATGTGGATTGATTACAAAAATGAGTGAGTGGTATGAAAAAAATTGGACAAATAGAATGAATGAGAGTCATGTTGTTAAGCAAATATGTAAAGGAGGAGTGAGTGGGCTGAAATTAATGGGAAAGCCAAGGAAATGATGATTGGATGCAGTTGATGAGAGCCTCAGAAGCAGAGAAAAGTATGAAGAACAACAAATAGTGTATGCATATGGTGGAAGCAAGGTTGAACAAGTACATGAATGGTATAATTGTAAACTAGCTTTAATTATGTCTCGTTTTATTTTCCTTATTGCCTGCATTTATTTTCTTTGGCTGATTATTCCATATTCCATTTCTGTGATCTGCATAAAGTTGCTTATTCTTCCTTCAATTCCTATAATTTTTAATTTCATCCCTTGTCTTTCACGGCAAGAATAGATGTAGGTCTCCTGCAATATGCTGCAATTATCATGATAAAAGTCTGTTTGCAATCTGACTTTCATTGGCAGATTAATAAATTTGAGGCACGTAAGAATTCCACATGTAGAGAACGTCATGAAGTCCCACACTGCAGTAGCTTCATCTGCATTGAATATATATTCTTATTTATAATTCAGGACTTTGCCTTAGCTTTGAAAGCATATCTCCTCTATTTTTCATTTTACTTGTGTTCTTTATATCAAAAGTGGCGTGTGCCTCTTTTTTTATTATCATGAACCAATAAAATCATAGTTAAAAACCCATTTCTTGGCTACTTTCAGGTCACACTGAATTTTCTCCCAGCTTCTAGCCTTATCCCTCGTTTTTAACCTTTTGAAATTAGCCTTAATACATTGTATAAAGCACCACCATTTCTCTATTCAGGACAAGGGAGCTGAGAAGAAAGGAGAACTTTCTCAGAAATGGATTCCGTGTTCATATTTCAGAAGTGATAAAAGACACTTTAATTTTTAATTGTTAAGTCTCTCCTGGAGAAGGGAGGGTAGATGGAATGGAAAAATGAAAAAAAAAAAGTCAACAGATATTCTTTTACCATTCAAGGTAGCTGGAGAAGAAATGGAAATTGGCAAGGTGGTACACCATACAGAGCGACAGTTATACTTTTCCTTCTTTGTGCTCTGAAACATAAAGCTGCTGTCATGACAACAGTAATTCCAAAACTACAGGTGTGTGTGTGCGTGTGTGCGTGTGTATATGTGATGTCAAAGCCTTACTGGAGTGCAATGGTGCTATTGTTACAAGAATAGGAACAAAGTCTAGAGCCTCATAACTTGTGGACAGAAAGAAGAATGCATTAAATCAGTGGAAAGGTGGGTGGAGTAAGGAGGTAGGTGAATACATACAGAGTTGTGCTGTGTAGCAACTTACTCACTGCAGCAGGGAATGAGGTGGGGAATCTGATTATGTTGAGGGCTAAGGGAGCTGATTAGATGCCAGGCAGACCTGATGGATGCTTTATTAGATCCAAATGATTAACCTATTGGTGATCTAGTGGAGTTATGGAACAATAACAGAACTTTGTGGGCACATGATAATCGTTCTATGCCTTTTCAGAGCCATCATGCTCCATGTGTTGTGTATTTTTTTAAATATTTTTTTTATTTATTTTCCATTTTAAAAAAAATATAAACATTTCATCTCTCCTTAAGCAGTGTGACCTTTGGGTACAAATATTTCTGTGCAACATCCTTCCACATATTATATACATTGAACCAGGTGTGAAATCTACTTACTTTCCTTACCGGTTCAGAAGCGCATGTCCTGCATGGGTCACATGCGCACGCAGACCTTCTGTGCACGCGCAGAAGGTAAAAGACACATTACTTCCTGGTTAAAACCAGGAAGTAATGACACCCAGGCGGGTGGGCAGAGCTTCGCTCGACAATTGCTACCGTATCACTGAACCACTGGCCAAGATCGCTACCGGATCAGGCAATCGGGTCCGATCCGGGAGCATTTCACCCCTGCATTGAACAATTATACCTTGTGTAACTCTTCATTTCCTTCATAACATATCTTCTAATAAAAATACAATAATAACATTAAACATAGTTATTCTCATCATACTCATATTATCAATTGCCATTTTATTCTTATCTCTATCTTAATATATTTTTTATTCTTATTGTCTTCTCTCTTTATTTCCAATTTCCTTTTTTCCCCTCTAACCATTGATACAATGCTTCCCATATCACATAATAATCAGTTTGTTCTCTCTCTTTAATTGCTAGTGTTAGTCTATTCATTTCTGCACATTCTAATATTTTCCTAATCACCTTCTCTTCAGTAGGAATCTCTTCACATACAATTCTAGCTGCTGTTAATACATGAATAATTAAATATATATTTTCTTTGTTATAAGTTTCAGGTAAGATCCGCAACAAGAATATTTCTGGTTTAAACTCAATAAGTTGTTTTATCATCTTTTCCAACCATATCTTTATATTTGTCCAATACTTCTTTGCTTCTTCACATGTCCATCACATATGATAATAAGATCCAGGTATCTGGTGGCACTTCCAACATTTAGCTGATTTGTCTTTAAACATCTTTGCCAACCTCGCCGGTGGAAGATGCCATCTATAAAACATCTTATATAAATTCTCTTTATATGCAGTTGACATCGTTAATTTATAATTCCTATCCCACATGTGTTGTGTATTGTGTATGCTCCACATATCG